AAAAAAAAGCTGCAATAATCAAATGTTATTAAATTTGCAATAACAAAATAAATAAATTAAATTTTAATATGAATATTATGCTTATTTTGGGTGTTTAACTTTAGAGGAGTTAACATCAAGATAAATTATATAACAAATTAATCGTCATTAATATGAGTACTCGTACTCTTAAATTTTAATATAATTTTATTATCTCTTCTAAACAAGTTGTATGGGCTGTTATTTATGCTTGATTAATGCAATTGATTTTTTTTATTATATTTTATTGATCATTCTAATGCAAATGTTTATAATCTCATATTATGAAATATTTAAGGCATTGAGTATTTAATGTTGAGCGATATGAAATTATGAATGATATAATCTACATAGATTAATTAAATGTGTATATTTGACGATGATAGAGTCACCTCTTTATAGTACTAGAGGGGAAACACTAAGTTACCCGTGCACTTATATGAAAAAGTGTATTGATATTCAAGTACCTTAATTGGTACAAATTTTTAGATGGTACTTCTGTGACAGTAGTACAAATATAAAATGATATAATGAGAGTAAGATTTTTTTATGAATAACAATAAATTTTTATGTTTATTTATTAAAAGCTTAGCTAGGATGCATGTTGCATCATTTTCTCTTGTATTACTATAGTTTTGAAGTATGAGTATTTATTTATTGGTTTAGCTCTTGTTATTTTAAACTAACTTTTCATGTTAACTAAGTGATTAAAAGATGAGCGATAAAATAAATAACGCTTATAGAAGACGTAGACAACCTGTAACGAAGTAAATTTAATTTTACTGTTTTATGCTTTAGTGATTCTTTCATTTGTTAATAGTTATAGTAAATGAACATAGAAAACTTAATTATCACTGTCGAACCATCTGTTCCCACCTGAGTTAATTTCGAGCTTCGGGTCAGATCGTGACAAAAGGATTCGTTCACTGCTCGTGTCCTCTTCTCAGCAAGAAGTTTCCTTCGGCTCGAAACTAACGCTACCCTGACGACTCCTTCACTTTCCTCCACTGCTTGACAGAGAATGATGCCTCCTTCACCTTCCGCTCCCTCCTTGCTCATGCTTCTCATTCGTACAAAACTTCTTGAAACTTGATACCGCCTCCTCGCACATGAACTCTTTCAATCGAACTTCAAACGCACGCGGCTTCGGCTCTCCTGATAGGTTCCTGCACTCTCATACGATATTTTATAAGCGAACTTACCTCTTTAGGCTTCGACCCCTTGTTTCCTCTCCTCTCTTTCAACTATCCCTAACTCCTTGTTTCTTCTTCTTCGATTTCTCTTGAATATTCGAATATTCAATTATTTTCCTATGGGTAGATAAAACGAGGCGTTACACTGAGTGCCCAGTTCCTCCTCCCGAACCAACTATCTTGGAGTCTTTTTTAAAAAAAAAAATTGTGTAAATTATCTTGTGAAATTTCTTTGTTTTAAAATTTACTTTAATAAGGGCAACCCTATTGATTTTAGTTGGCCTTCCAATGGAGCAAACTACCCTAACGACTTCACCATCCTTCTCTTAGAGCCTATTGACCGAAAGATTATCATTAAGGGTAAAACTGCCTGATCTATTGCTAAAAAATAAGCTAAACTAGGTATTTATCTTTAAATATTCCAAATGACAATTAATTATGAGGGAGACTTTACTAAAAATCAAAGCAATTCTAAGGTATGAGTCAATTCAATAGATGCTCAGACAAATTTTTCCAAAAAGTTGTCTGGGTTAATTCTTTATCACAAGTCTTTGAACAACATATATTTAGTTTTGTCAAGAAAATTTTGCCTTTTCCAAAGTTTTTTTTTTGTGAGCCTAGATCAAAAGACAAAACCTAACTCAAAAAACATTTTATGTAATTAAGAAAACCTAACTCATTTCCAATGAAAGAACAGACTTAGGAAAACCTAACTCACCTCCTATGAAAGAATAAGAGAGACCACCGCCACCTTTTTCTAAGATACTCAAAAAAAACAAGTTAGGTCAGCAGTTCTCCAGATTTTTAGAGATGTTCAAAAAGCTCACATTTAACATCTTTATTTTTTTTAAGTTTTAGAACATATGTCTAGTTATGTGAATTTCAAGAATGGCATAAGAAGAGAATACTATGTGATTTTGAGACTACGACCCGAACAAGGTAGTGTAGTGGTATCCTTCAGAAAAAAACTTTCACAAAAAATTAAGAATCCTGATGGTTTTAACATTCTTTATGGTATATGAGAGTTTTTTTGGAAAAGTCTTGTGTGATTTAGAGGTTATGTCTTTGTCAATATTTAAAAGATTAGGATTAAGATAAGTTCAACCAACCATGATAAACCTGCAGTTAGCTGATCATTCTCTTACCTATCCCAGAGAGTGATTGCGGATGTGCTTGTTAAGTTTGAAAAATTCATCTTCCCTGCTGATTTCAGTGTCATAGATATGGAGAAGGATAAAAAGATCCTCATTATCCTAAGTAAACATTTTCTAGCAATAGAAAAGACAAATATTAATTTACAAAAAGGGAGTTAATCATAAGAGCACTAGATCAAAAAATGACTTTTAGGATTTATAATCCAATTCAATCACTTATATATCCTTCAAAAAATTGTTGTTGAATTGAGATTGAGAAATTATATGAAATTTTGATTAAGGGATTGAAGAAGAATACTTATAATCAGGAAGATTCAAAATTGGGACTAAAATTTGAGGATTTAGAAGATTTTTTTTGGGGCATCTAAAATATTGGGTGATTGATCAGAGATTATTAAAATGACAAGTTGATCCTGAGGAAAAATTATACGCATGATTTGATTATGTTAGAATGAAGACATAAAACCAAGTGCTACTTGAAGGCAACTCAAGCATTATCTTGTAATTTGATGGCATGTTTGTTTTGCTTTATAATTGTGTGTTATGTTGTATTGTGATTTGAGTGAAGACGTTAAACTAAGCATTTATTGGGAGACAACCCAATGTATCTTTTCTTGATTTATGATTTTGTTAACTTGTATCTCCAAAGTCATCCTATTCACTAAAAATATATAAATTATAGAGCAGATAAATTATGGAGCTCTGTAGCATATATTTTAAATAAGAACAATAAAATTTATGGAGCAGATAACTCATGAACAAGTTGTACTGTACTATCTACCACATAGGCAAATATCTAAACTATAATTTATGTTTGATTTAGAGGAATTCAATAGTATTATTGTAAATTAGAAATAAAAGTACCCGCCTCGATCTGAGATGACTAGATTTTCAATCAATCTATTTTGATTGTCTTCTTTAATTTGATACTTATAAAAAAATAATCATAATAATTAATTTTATATTTAATTGATCTATATTTTATATTAATGTTTTAATTTTTTAATTTTTTGCATTTAAAGAACATAAATCATAATATCTTTTCTACTTATTTATTTGCTATTACAGATTTTAATTATAATACTTTAGTATTTCTAGAATTATTTTGATTTATTAAATTAGATAATACTAAAATATAAACCATAATTTTTGATAGAAAAATTTAATAAATCATATCAATTCTTAATTTTTTTTTTCACTAAACTATCCTAATTCCAATAAAATTAGATTGATATTCTAACCACAATTAACTTGTTCAATTACTTCAAATTATATATTAACATTCTACTTCTCCTTCCTTCTAACCTAAGTAATCAATCAATGTTGTTTAAAAGCCAAAATTAAATTTAAATGAATTAAATAAACTGAAAAAATATATAATACTTAAAAATGAATATTACTTTGGTGGCCGCCCTAATTTAAGTGATGCTCATGAACTTGTTTATCATCACCTAAAAATGAATAAAGTTGTACGAATGCTTATGTACATGCACAACACACACGATCCTACATCCACGATTGACCTCCTAACAACCCGAACACTCGGTCGAGCTCGATTGCCTTTATCCTGCTTTGTTCCGGTCGAGCTCAACTGCCTTTCTCTTCCCCTAGCGAGATCGTTTGTCGGCTTCCTCCTTCGCACTCGTTTGTTCAAAACCATTGTATGTTCAATGCTAAAGCAGCATTACCGCCTTGCTCTCTCTTGATTCCAGCATGAGGTCATCACCGATCGTCTCCATCTTGCATTACGGCGCTCAGCTACACACGCAAGCACTATTTGCATCATAACTACTTTCAATTCTGCGTTGGATCCCCCACTCTTCTCTCATTTGATCTCCCCATCATCTTCGTCTCTCTCTCTCTCTTTTTCTCGCCCTCGTCTCCCTTATAAGCACGGGCCGAACTATCCTGCTCGTCTCGACCCCTCAGTAAGTGTAACACTAGCACTATAAAACCGAGCATTATAGAGAGTGGAAACCCTCACACATGACTCATGCACGCAAGAACATTCCTCCGCACGTTGCTCCCAGCACCCATATCTCCGCAAGCTTCACCTAATAGTAATCACTTATTTGCCAACTACTCCATTCCAGCACATCAATCCAATACCACTCCAGTTGTATGCGTCACTAAGTTATTATGGCTTAGTTATTGTATTTATATTATTGATTAGATTTCCAATTTCAACCTGCAATATCACATTTTTCCTACTACAACTTCTAGGATTGTATAGATTCAGTACAGATGGTGAAATAAAGAACACTCAACAGTTCCTCAAACTATTTTTGATGTGAAAAGAACAAGGAAAACATATGGATTAAACGCAATCGCTTAGAAAATGTGCAATAGTTTATGAAAACTAAAGGAAAACCAATGCAATATCTAATGGTAGTGATTGCCAAGGATTCAGAAATCCAACCTAAAATAGTTCAAATTAGGCTAACGATGATGATGGTTCATTTTTTCTTTATGCAACCAAAATTCTCAAGTATCTAATAATGTATAGATCACTCATACTAGATAAAGTCATAGTGAAGAGGTAAAACACTATGACTGCTATAATTTCTCTGAAAATTAATGTATGATACACAGCAGCATGCATGGATGACTACATGATAGACAGTTGTTGCGTTACCTTGGATAGCTTAGGTACTGCTCAGGTAACAAAAAAGACAATCCTGGAGCCTGTTGAACGCAGTAGAGTCAGTAGACATCATACCTCATATTGTTGGATAATTTTTTTTATTATAACAAATTAATAGCAAATCAAACAGCTCAAAAATATAAAGAAACTGATAATAATATTATCAACAACTATTAAACTTATAAAAATTGAGTAAAACCATGAAAGGAAAAGTTTATCAGCTCTCAAAAGCTTTTATGAAGAATACCTGCAATAGTTCTAGTTCCGCAAGAGTGTCAAGAGATGATTTCAGGGCAACAGATATCTTATCTGGGTCGTTCTCCTTTACAAATGCAATTAGATTTTTTAATCCACCCTGATATTTGGCATGAAGTTAGCATTAGTTCAACTGCTATAAAGCCTGCATAAGCTTTCCGCGATCCAGAATTGTGAATACATGACGAGAAGCATCTAATGTTTTCCATGTAACTGCCAAATATAATAAACAATGTCATGAATTGTGACTCCCTAAGTGATGTATTGTGGCATTTTATGGCAGGATTTGGAACCCTATCATTCATTCATGGCAGATTGCACCATCAAAGAATGATTTCTGAAATTTCGTTCTTTAACACTACCAACCAAATAAAATTTCTTGCAGTATACATCTTAGTTAGGCTCGAAGTAATAATTGTAATGTCATTTATCATCACCAAGTGAACTTCCGATCTCTTAGAGATGGGCTTAACGTGGGGGTTTAAATGAGTCTGAGTCAAGCTCGAGCCACTCTCGGCTTCAGCTTGAGCTTGATTAATCAATCAAGTTCGAGCTTGAGCTTAACTCTACAAGTTTGAACAGGCTCTTGTTTAGTATGAAAAAGAAAAAAAAAAATTAATTTAAGATAGTATTATAATGAAATGACAAATAAAATGAGAATGTGTGAGATAATTAAAAAGAAATCACTTGATATAAAATGAAAAACATAAATTTTTAACATTTTTAATAAAAAAAATAAAATTCATGAAATTTAATATAATTTAAGTCTATCTTTTATTGATTATTTTTAGATGACTCGACTCACGGGCTAACGCACCAAGTCGGGGTTGGCTTGAGCTTGGCTTGTTAATTCATCGAGCTCAGTTCACGAACCACTTATTGAGACGAGTCCCAACCAGCTCATTAGTCCATTTGACTCACTTACACCCAAAGTTGTATGCATCCTTAGCTACCCCTCATACCTCACAACCAACAAAATAGAGCAACCAATCAATTTATTCAAATCTTTTAGTGATTCTTAATGTGTTTTGTGCCATTTAAACTGAAAAAGAAGTTTGGATGATGGAATAGATTCAAGGCATGTTGAAATTTATATGAAATGAAAAATATATAAACAAGTAGCATAGTTGAAAATTGGGTCCGTAAGTTGCACTCATTATTACACTGCATTAGTATAGAAGCACTGAGAATTTTTATTTCAAAATGAATTTTCTTTGCAAAATTTCTTTAAGACAACATGTAAATAAAAAAATGATCTTGTATGTTCCATAGTCAAGTGTTTGACAATAGATTTTCCTTTAACTTTGGAGCCCTTTTATTATTGGTATTATATTTGTTAATCAAGAAATATATGCTATCAACTATGTTCCTAAGAAGATAGATAATGCGAGGGACATGGCGTTGAATCAGATCATCCTTGGTTTGCAAGTGGTCGGCCGATACCTTGCCCTACTTGAAGTTGCCTCCCAAAGGGAGGGGTCTGCCCCCCTAGCTATCTACTAATATATATATTCTATTTTCCCTCTTTAGGATTTTTAGTTTTTCCTGATTTTAGATTTCTAGCGTCGGCATTTCTCCCTTCTCCATGTTGTATCCAAAGGCAGGTGGTGCTTCGGTTGTATATTGCTCCATGTTGGTTACTACCTCCCCTTAATCCCTCGCCTACTCCCCCTCCCTTGCTCGCCGCCAACTCCACTGCACCCACATCCTTCCTGTTGCCCTATCGCAAGCCCTACTCCACCTCTCCAACTATTGCTAAACAGCCCAATCTCCCCTGTTATACTGCAGCCAACCCTACTCCATCCCTACAGCTGTCGAAATCCACCCCCAACACCAACTATCATTGTCGTGAACCCATCTAACACCCCCACTGCCTACCACCATATATCTTCAATCCTCCCGTACCGCCACCATCCCCTAGTCCCCCTCCCTGCTCCGATCACAAACCAGCATACTCCCCTCCAATCTGCCACTACCTCTCCCAGCCCCTCACCACGGTCCACCGGCTATCCCGCCTAGCCCTAGCTAGAGATTTGTGTTGTGTTGCTTTTCCTTCCCTATTTTGAGTCTTGATTGTAACCCCATTGTTTTGGCGTAATAAAAATCTGTTTTTCTATCGGATTTTGAGTTAACTCCAATATCACTTTTATTAAAATAATCCAAGGCAGGCTAGTATAGTCATCATTAAAGGACACAAAAATAGCTGAGCCTAAGAAGAGTTTGAATCACATTCTTTCTTTCTTGGATATAGAAGTTTCAAAAAAAAAGATAAGAAAAAAGACAATTCTGAGGTTCATTCATCATTAGATTTCTCAAGAGAGTACAAGACCATCAATTTATTTAGCAGGTCCGCCCATCGTGCTCTATTCCTAAAATAAATAATACGAATGTAAACTACTTTGTATTTTAAATATGTAATTAAATTTTTTATAGATACTTAACTAGTGAAAATTTTAGATTTGTCAAAAATATTTCATAGTGTAGAGGATTTATTTATAAGAATGCTCATTGGCCTGTAAGAGTCAAAGAATGTCTCATTGACCAACAACGACTGTCAGAAATCCATCAATGATGAATATTTTATATTGTTAGGATGGTGAGTATATAAAATAATGTTTGGGTGAAAAAATAGTCAAATCATCTATAGCTCATAAATAAATAATTCAAAAATTATGATTAGGCATCATTGAGAATTCTATGATTGGTCATCCTTATTGTTTTATGAATAAGACCTTACTTTTAATCTCATAGATTTCCAGAGTAAAGTGTCAAACTAATTCTTTGACCATTTACATGAAGCTATTTTACTCTCATAGTCCACAAAAGTGTCAAATTAGTCCCCAGAATCTTTTAATATTGGTTGGTCCTTATAGCGGACTATTTTAGCGACATTTAAAAGACTTTGGGAACTAAATTGACATTTTATAGACTCTGGAACTAGATTGACCCCAACAAAGAGTCAGAGACCCATTTTAATACTTTTCTCAATTTTGGCAACATGACAAACCTTAGAAAATATCTAATTTAGCATATCCCAATTTTTTATTTTTTTAATGAAACATGCAGTTTCACTTTTTCAGAAACTATGGAGTTCGATAACCAGCACATTGCCATAGAGTCCTGTTAATCCCAAGCATTGATTGTGGGGCCACCTTGCTGTAATCTAGTGCCAAGTAAACGGATCAAGTTCTCTCTTTCCTTGAAGAGGATTCAAACAAATTGTGACTACTTCAAGCATTTCATACAAGTGATAAATTGAATGAATGTTTTATAATTCTTCTATTAGAATCAATAGGACATGGATATTTTGGTGATCCATGAGAACAGAAATTGTGATAGTAACTGGAAATAAAGAGCAAAAAAAAGACAAATAAAGCTGCAGCACTAAAGGACAAAAATAAAATAGAATAAGAAAGTATAAAAAAAGCATAAAGCAATGAAGGATTGCAAGTTCTGAGCCATGCAACAATGAAGGTTTTGTCTTATAGCAATGCTAAGAAGAAAAAACCCAAGGCTCGAATAACTCGATAAAAATTGTAGAGGATTGGTTGATTATTTCATTGCAATATTTGTGCAACATATAAATCTAGAATAGGTTTTAATAAAATACATACAAAATCAAAGAATAATAGTTACAATAGTTAACAAATTGAAAAGTAGGAAGAATAATAATATAATAGTCTATGGATTTATGAGATAGCAATAGTAATTTAATGGATCAAAAAAGTAAGATGAAAGAAATAAAGAAGGTGAAGTATTATTAGACTAAGGGAAGCATTGATGGTGGCGGAATTGATGAAGCCAAAACAAAATTGATAGAAATTAATTTTTTCATACTTTACCCTTACAAGAATCAACGTCTCTCTTCATTCTGCACCGCTATGATAAAAATTCAATCATCAACTAAGTTTGTTTGAAGTTCATTATATTTTTCAGCATTATGTTAACATACAATTTTTAAAATCCATCATCATTAGAAACTGTGTTCGTGAAATTAAGGAAAAAAAATCAAAATAATAAATATCAATCACATATGCAACCATAATAAAAAATAAACATTGTGCATACTTTGAGTCAATGCATGTCTAAAATTCTCTCTTACGATTCTTTATTGTGAAGATGCCAAAAAAAATAATCAAAACAATAATAGCAAAAAACAACATGCGTTTTCTTGTCTCCTGCCAAAGCTGAAATGCACCTTTTCATCATAGACAGAACTCATGCCTGCTTAAAAAACTGTTGCTAAAATGGTTAGTAGCTAATTTTATAAGATTAACATGTTCTATGTAGGCAGTTCATTCTATAATTAGTAGCTTCGAGGGTGCAATGTTTTCCGGCTGAAATTATTGAGAATAAATACTAAAAATTCAAATCATCCTCATTGAACTATTACTGCCGCTGTATTTCATCAATAGCAAACAAGAAAACTAATCAAAGGATACAAATAATTCAGATGAAATTTGGATACTGAAAATGACAGACTAAAATAAGCATACCTAAAAAGTTTACGGACCATGTTGGTCATCGATATGGTATTCTTATTCATTAGATCACTAAAAAGCATAACATACTAACCAGAGAAACAGAACAGCGCAAGTTTTCTTTCTTGTTTATTATTTTTATCTACTTATACACCATGAGGCTAATCAATTGAAGGATCAAATATAAAGTTAAGAAAGCCTAGTGTTAGAAGTCAAACCTCCATTCAACAGAAATAATTGAAATAATACGCATTCTGATATGCTAACATCCATAGTTCCAGTGTATCTTTTTCTGACTGGAAGTGCTCATTACTAAATTTTCTTCTTTCTTATGAGATTTGTATCCCTCATGCAAAAATAAATAAATAAACAATAATCTCCTGTCAAAACAGTTAGTTGCTTGTTTCACATGCCACAAGTTAAAGCCATTCACTTTCATGCTCACAAAAATAAGGACCTTATTTTCCCAGCCAACTTAGAACAAATGAGCAGATATGGATCTAAGGGGGCCATACAGAACTCAATTGTTAAGTCAAATCCATGTATGATGAACATTATAAACTTAAGGAAACGGAAAAGAGTGGAATACATTGCCATTTGTTAGTGAAGCATAAAGAAGGGAGCCCTTCTCCTTGAGTTCCTCCGATAAGCTACCTAAGATTGATTCCTTTTGCTCCATTGCAATCTAAAAACCACACCAATGTTTAAAACAATAAACTATTAGAATATTAAAGAAAATATTAAAGAAAAACAGAGCCAAGCATATTGTAATAATAATTGTATTGCTTAATGCTCATATCATAAACTCATCCTTAATTATTTAGCAAGCCAAAATGTTTTTTAAAGCCATCCTATAACCAGAATTATATGTCCATGAAATGCTCGGAAAAAGAAAGCTATCTTAGATATGATTTAGTATGTTGGTAGAATTATTTGAATTGACCTAGGAATGAAGGCAAAATGCATGATCAATATCTGCAGGCATTTATAAATGCATGCATGACTATTTCATGAATTAGATAACAGCGCGCTAGCCATTTAAAATTATAATTTCTTAAGGAAATGAGCATGTTCATTGCATACAAAACATTAAAAACAGCTTCACACTCCTCTTAATCAAATCGACCAGCTTTAAATGTGCTGCTTCCGTTCTCATTTCATTGAGGTCGGATCTATTAACCAGGATGATCAACTGAAAAGTTAGACTAAATTTATTTGCTAGGTTTCTAACAGATAATGCAATCATCCAAATAGCAAAAAATATTTCCCTCATATAAATATGTGAATAGAAGTCATGATGTACCTTTAAAGCTTTCTTTGCATCACCTTCCATTGTACCATAAGGTTTTCTCTGTGGGATTCTTAATCGGTATGAAATATCCTCCAGAGAGTCCTGCAGAGAACCATATAATCGTTTCCTAGCTTAGGCAGAAGACTAAAGAGCCAAAAAAAGTTTACCATGGGGCGTAGATGAAAAAAACATTTACTTGTATAGCTTTCATATTTGCATTGGCAGGAATTGCCCTTCTTAAAGCAAGCTCTCCTGTTCGGGGAACCTTGGTGTCAGGTGAATAAAGTACTGCTTTTGCAGAAGAAATAAACCATGTGTCCCATGTACTTGAAGGTAATGTAAATGAGCTTTGAAAAAGAATAAGAACAATAGCTAGCACACTTTCAGCCCTCTTCAATCTATGATAGAATGCAGAAAAGCTTAGGAGCCTCGGAAAGAGGTTTTGGTGGGGAGTTTCCTACAAAAGATAGCATAGTAATAAAATAAACCTAACTAATTAAAACGAATTTGTGAATATTTCAACATAAAATAAATTATCATTCCTAGAAAGGAAAGGAGATCCAACTTCTTTAGTTCCATTACATATTTTTATCAATCACCCTAAAAAATAAGAGATCACTACCCATAAGCACTTAAGCATCATTTTAATTTACAAAACTAGACAATAAAAATCTTAGAGTCAAATAGTTCTTTTCTAGAAAGATCACATTTGTCGATAGCAAATAGCACAACATAACAAAAGATCCAATGAAATCATAGGACATAATGCAAAGCACGGCCCATTATTCTATAAGTACCCACTATTTTAAAAATAACATAGAAAATCTTAAAGAAGGTTGTAGCATGTATAACACAAAACGCAATGCGCTATTTTAAAAAATTACATAAAGTAGCTTAAAGAATGTTCTAGCGTGCAACATTAAAAGAGAGTAAGCATATTGCTAGTATAAATCAAAAACAAAAAATAAGAAAAGTTGCATTGTGCGCTCCTTTGATGCACATTACAATTTATAATCTAAAGATTTAAACAATCAATCAACAACCATATATGACACAATAAACTAATTCATTAATTAACGCAAATAATGAGATAATAATGTTCTTGCAAAATAAAATATGAAAATGCTCAGATGGGTGATGGTGGGTTAAAGCTTGATGCTCAAAATAATTGCACGTTTTTTCACCTTTTTATTTTCTACTAATGCATGTTTTATTGAATTTTCGATTAAGGTAAATTAAACATAAGATATCATCAGTGGTGGGATTGGAAATTGTAATAAAGACACAAGAACATTTTTTCAAGAAAATGACTAGGACAAACAAATCAAGCCCTAATCATGTTGCTTTCTGGCAGAATAAATTAGCGTTTTGATTAACAAGAAGGGCAGGAAAATGAATCTTTTAGGAGATATGGCATCCTATAACATCGGGATGCTCTTTCTTCAAGCATTTTGGGGCTTTGCCTAATATGACTGGGTATTATTCTTCATACTAAGTAAATTTTGAGTGTTAAAAAAAAAAGACCAACAAAGTTGATAACTATTCAATCACCTTACAACCTAAAGTGATTCCATCTGAATTTTGTAGGCAATGATATAAGTCTGGAAAATACAAAAAATGAAAAGAAAATAAATAAATAAATGTAGCTTTGCAGCTTTTTCATCAAAGACAACGTTGCCTTTGTGCCTCAACTTGCCAGAAAAGGTTGGCAAAGAAGTCTTGGGTGCATGGCACAAGACGTCTGGAATTGGCTTTGCCATTTTCACTTGCATCATTGGAGTTATGGAAACAAATGTTGTTGTAAAATACATGATCATTGGAGTATTAGAATGCATGAAAAAATGAGAGCTCGAGAGAAAGATCTAGCATGGCCAAGTTTTCTTTGTAATAATCCATTTTGAGAAATCTGTTAAAAATTTTTGACAAGTTAAAATATACCTAAAATTTCAAATCCCACAGATATCAACCGAATCAATTTTATAAAATTTTACACGTCAAAATAATTAATTTGATATATAATACAATATATAAATTTTGAATGGAATGAGAGATAAAATTGAAAATTATAGGTTTAATTAATTTAATTAAACCTAATTATTTGTTTAATCTCTCGCACCCTCACTGTCAAAGTTTTGAGAAAAATAGGCGAAATATTGAATAGGCTCGATTGCTTTTTCCCTTTGCTTTCATTCCATTAAGTAATAATCTTACAATCTACTTTAGGTAAAAAATAAAATGCATATAATTTATTTTAGGTAGCTTAATAATACATATTCCTAATCTAAATATTTAGCTAAAAGGGAAATAAATCAGAATAAAGATGTTGGAAATAGGGAAGCTTCTAATTATAGAAAACTTCTAATTTAGCTGTCTAATTTCCGTTCTTCCTGATTGACATCTCCCCTCAAATTGATGCTGATTGATCAGGCAGCATCAATTTGCTAACAAGAGACTGATAACACTGTCGGGACAAAAAATCCTTAAGCCGTAAGTGCCGAAGCCTGAAAATGCCGAAGCCTGAAAATGCCGAAACCCGAGAGTGCCGAAGTTTAAAAATGCCGAAGTCTGAAAATGCTGAAGCCCCAAAGAGAAACCCGAGAGTGCCGAAGTTTGAAAATGCCGAAGTCTGAAAATGCTGAAGCCCCAAAGGCTGAAGCCTGAGAGTGTAGTGCCAAGAAGGCCGAAGTCCAAGAGTGCTGAAGCCCAAAAGTGCCGAAGCCTAAAAATGTCAAAGCCTGAAAATGTCGAAGTCCGAAAGGCCGAAACCTGAGAGTGCTGAAGCCCAAGAGTGTCAAAGCCTAAAAATGCCGAAGCACAAGAGTGTCGAAGTCCGAAAGGCCGAAACCTGAGAGTGCTGAAGCCCAAGAGGCCGAAGCCTGAGAGTGCCGAAGCCCGAGAGGCCGAAGCCTGAGATTGCCGAAGTCCAACAATCCAAAGCCCGAGAGTCCGAAGCCCAAGAGTGCCGAAGCAATTGGGACAAAGCAGACCGGGACGAAGCAGCCGAAGCTAATGCAGGAGGATGAAGCAGACAGGAACAAAGTGATAGTAGGCGAGGAAGCAGAGAGAAGCGCAAGCCCAGATGGTTCGCAATGAGGAGAAGGCAAAGTCGATGCTCAATCGCTTCATTGCGATGAAGAACGCGGAGAAGCGCAAGCCCAAGGAAAATCGTCCATACCTCACCTCGGAGTGTCGCGATCTTGCCGATGCCGACCGATGGCGCAGTGAAATTCTCCGAGAGATTGGTGTCAAGGAGGCTGAGATCCAGACCAAGGGCCTCGATGAGCATCTCCTCTGAGATCTCAATGACGAGATCAACAAACTTCTTCACGAGCGTGTCCACTGGGAGCGCCGTATCGTAGTACTTGGCGGACAAAATTACAAGAAGAACACCGCCAAGATGACGGATCTTGATGGTAGCGTCATCGATGTTCCTAACCCTTCCGGTCGTCTCATTAACATGAAGAAGCCGACGAAACCGAAGTGAAAGAAGCAACGATGGCTAGCGAAGGAGATATGAAGAAATCATGAGGCGATGAGCAGACAAACGAACGAGAATTAAGGCATCCTCCTTTCCCGTCTGCAAGCTGGCGGGAAGGGAGTCTTGACGGTCCTCCAACAATTATTAGTGGTTAGGGCAAAAATCCGACTCTGATACCATGTCAAAATTTTGAGAAAAATATGTTGAATTGTGAATAGACTCGATTGCTTTTTTCCCTTTGCTTTCATTCCATTAAGTAATAATCTTACAATCTATTTTAGGTACAAAATAAAGTACATATAATTTATTTTAGGTAACTTAATAATACATATTCCTAATTTAAATATTTAGGTAAAAGGGAAATAAATCAGAATAAAGATGTTGGAAATAAGGAAGCATCTAATTATAGAAAACTTCTAATTTAACTGTCAAATTTTCGTTCTTCCTGATTGGCACTCACTGTTCACAACCGACATTCTTGTAGATGTGAGGTGGAAAGAAAGCAACTAATTGGAAACTGTAAGGTTGTTAAACCTCCTTCATCAAAAGGGATTATCCCAGTGAGTCTGATAGTGACCACCTCCGGTGAGCATACGGACCATCTTACTTCGAAGAATCTCCCAAATTATTGACACCCACTTGAAGGCTACAACACTAGCAAATTTGGTCCATGAATTCCATCCCAAAAAAGGTTTGTAGGGGTGACTTGTGGAGGTGTCCCTCAAGAACCTTTTGAAATAAGGAATTTGTCCTTCCTTACATTTCTAAGAACACAAAAGGGACGACAATAGTATGGCAATCAAAAGGCAATGAAAGGGACCAAGTCGTCAAAGTTATTAGTGAGACCCTCCTAATGCCTAGTGTAACGCCTAAAATTTCAAGAAAGCAGGTAAAATTCGGCACATGAAAAGTACCCCAAATTTCACATCCTCCAAAATTCAATCAAAATAATTTTATAAAATTATATGCATAAAATCGATAAATTCCATAGATTGAGAGATGTGAAATTAAGAAGTTATATGTTTTACTAATGTAATTAATCTTATTTGTATTATAATCCCACCTTCGTACTGTTCTCTGCCAACTACAGCCGCACTTAACTGCGCATGCAATGGCTCAATGGGATCAAACGGCTAAGAATTCCTCTGATTTTCCTTGAGTGTCACAATTCCTATCCCCTCTCCCATTTCCTCCAACTCCTTGTCTCGGTGACTTGAAGGCTACAACACTAGCAAATTCGGTCCATAAATTCCATCCCTAAAGAGTTTGTAGGGGTGACTTGTGGAGGTGTCCCTCAAGAGCCTTTCGAAATAAGGAGTTTGTCCTTCCTTACATTTCTATTAAGACAAAGAGGACGACACTAGTATGGTAATCAGAAGGCAACGAAAGGGATCAAGTCGTCAAAGTTATTAGTGAGACCCTCCCAATGCCTGATGTAACGCCTAAAATTTTAAGAAAGCAAGTAAAATCCGACATATTTGAAAAGTACCCAAAAATTTCGCATCCTCCGAAATTCAATCAAAGTAATTTTATAAAATTATATGCATAAAATCGATAAATTTCATAGATTTAGGGATGAAATTCAGAAGCTACATGTATTATTAATGTAATTAATCCTTTAATTAATCTTAATTGTATTATAATCTCTCCTCCACACTGTTCTATGCCAACTACAACCGCGCTTAACTGCGCATGCAATGGCTCGAAGGGATCAAATGGCTAATAATTCCTCTGATTTTCCTTGAGTGTCACAAATCTTATCCCCTCTCCCATTTCCTCCAACTCCTCGTCTCGGTTCTACTCAACAGAGAAGGTTTGCGATCCTTGATACAGTGCAAGAACGAAATGTGCAAGTTGAGCAACACCAGGGAAGCCACATGCGACATTTTAGTGCTCTAAAGTTTTGAACTCCTATTCCTTTCTCCTCTCTCATGATCCCCTTTTCCCTCTCGGGCGGCTTGGCAATCTGCGACCCTTGC